TTTTTTTTGTCTTTCATTTATATATATATATTTTTTTTAAGCAAGCTGCATTCTTACAAATTAAAATGCTTTTAGACAGTTTCCTAAGCAATATCTAGAGAGTAATGTAAATTACTGAAGAGTTATGGAAAACTAAATCTGCTTTTACTATTTCTATGAATGGAATGGGAGCCAAACTTAAACTAATGCAATTAGTTTTATGACTTGAATAGAAAGAAAAGTAAACTCTGCTACAATAATTTATGAATTGACAAGGTTTTTATTTTGTTATTTTTGTTATATTTATTTGCTTGCAACTGTCCTTTGTGACACCTCGGCAATGAAACGCTGCTGTATAAGCATAAAATTTGAATGAATATAAAATGTGATTAACTTGTTTTGAGCTCTTACTGAAGAGAATACCTAGAGAATAGAGTGTATGTACGTGCGTACTGCTGACAGGCAATTTGTAAGGTTTCTCTAGTCTGCTTAAGCCTCCATGGCATTCCAAGAAATCCTAAAATTCACATGACTTGTCTAGCAAGCCTAAAAATTAGACAGGGAATGAGAGGAGAGTAAAGTTAAGATTTCATTTTTGATATGTGTAATTTTTCCTACAGCAATATGAGAAATTATATTTAGAAAACACAGAGATTGAAGAAAAGACTGTGTACAGATAAATATAAAAATAAACAAATATCATAATTGATCTATATAATTATATTTTTCTTGGAAAATAAGCTTCCATGCAGCTCAGCTCAGCTCAGCTCAGCTCAAATTTATTGAGAATAAATATTTACATGACAATTTCAGGATAGATAATTGACATACGCATTGTTGGGCCATTAAGAGTGAAAGCAATTTGCATTTCTGACAGCCAATCAATCAGTTGGTTGACCTTATGAATGACCTGTCTAATTAGCCAAATGCGTTTTGGGCTTTTGTCTAAGTCAAAATGTGGCTATATCCGTGTAAAAAAGGGCTCAAGACTTATTCACTTATTTATGTACAAATATATGATAGCGAAACGTGCCACGGTAATAGGCTCTGTGTGTTAGACATGGGTAGAGGCAGAGGGAGAGAAGGAGAGAGAGGGGGAAGAGAGAGTGTGTGGGAGGTGTAGCATAAGTCTACGTTGATTCAAAACGGGCTCACGCGGCGCATACGCAATTTGTGTGCCACGGCGTCTTCCTGTGGGGTTTCTCTTCTCTCCTTTCTCTCTCTCTCTCTCTCTCTCTCTCTTTCTCTCTCTCTCTCTCTCTCTCTGATGGTGTGTGTTTGTCTGCATGAATGTTTTCATAAATTGAGTTTGCTTTTTTCGACAGCTCCTTTTGTTAGGGGTTGACACCGACAGTGCTCGCTCGCCATCACTCGCCCACCCCCATTCCCGCTGAGACCCCTACCTCCCCCCCACCCCTTCGTTCCTGCCTCTTTTATGCATATATACTACCTGTCATTATTCATTGCGATGCGACTTTTGTGTCTGTTGTTGGCGTCCATTGGGCCGCGCCAAAGCTGCGCATTTCAATAAGGGAATTATGAGCTATTAGGCATATATATGTTATATTATAACAAAAATAAAATACAGCTATTAGGGGCCTGCTGGCTCATTGTTATGCACGCTAAGAATTGTGCGCTTGAGGGCGGCTTACGCAATTGATTACCCCGAGATGCTTTGCCGTGAAGTAGCTGTGCTTGTAGGGCGCAAAGCATTTCAGGAATTTTGTTTTATTTATGTACATACATATATATGTATGTATATATGCAATAGAACACAGAAAACATGCTTAATTTATGTGCACAAGTTCAATGCAATAAAAATAAATATAACACATGTGCAAAGAGCAATTGCAATAGCTTCAGCTCAGGCTATATGGGCGCACTGCCATCCCATCTAGTTACGTGTGTGTGTGTGTGTGAATCTGTGTATCTGGGTCTTTTGCTGTGCCCCCTCGTACCTTGACAATGCACTTGAGTCAAGTTTGCTTCCTCTCTGCCCAGGTTGCCGAGCTGCTTGGCTGCCAATGCAAAGGCTGCCAAAATTGCATTGAGCGACAGCTTGGTCGTCTTCTTGTGGGGGGCATCAAAAGGGGCGGACATGGGCGCATGGGCGTCCGGCAGACGCCCAAGCATGATACGAGCAGCATGTAGCAAGCAGCTGAAGCAGAAGCAACAACAACTGCTACAACAGCTACAACAACAACTGCTACAACAGCTACAACAAC